GAAAGGCTCCCATGAAACTTACTAAAATAAGGTGCATCAAGACAGATGAATTTTTGATGAATAAGTCAAAGCACTGACGAAGCTCACTTTTCACATGGAGAAACTTCTCTAATTCACAGAAAATTTTCAGGCCTAGATCATTAACACTGTCATATTTAGTGATAATTAATATAGTAAAATCCATGGGATAAACTGGAGATTTTACCTTTTTAGTTGGTAGCAACTATGTAGTGTTCAACATGAACTGATTGCTGAGAGCATGATATGCTGAGAGCATAGTATGATTCAAAAATAGTAGTAGATTTTTTAGAAATTAATTTTAAAGAAATATTAAATAACAGCTATTATAGTAAGCAATGCATGTATTTCATGCAATGGCATTCTTCTGAATAACAATTATATTACCCCATTAAAGTTAGAAACTTTATCTCTGAGGTGGGCAAATTTCTTTAAAAGTGTTATCTAATTGTGACAAATTCCATCTGATGGAGATCTGGAGTAGAGTTTATAGTGTTAGCTTTTGATAATTGATGGCAAAGGTGTTTGCTAATATCATAGTGAAGAATTATTTTCAAGTATTCAAGTACAGTAGAATAAGAAGTCACCCTACTAAGTAACTGGGTTCACACATTGTTCCAAGTCCAGTTACTAGAATCCCAAAAGTTAACTTTTTAGAGAAAAACAAAAGTGAGTTAGTGTAATGAATGCATTCCTTCATTCAGTGCAGATTTTGGAGTACTAGCTGCATAGATTTGGCTAACAGAATAGACTCCAAGTGATGACAGATAAAACTCTTACTCTCCAGAATTAGTGAATACTTTAAATTTTAAGATAAAATTAATAGTTTAAACTTCCTGTTTAATAGGTATTATTCGTAGAAGTCAGTAGAGTTAATGGTGCCCTAATTCACCATCAGTCCAAGATCAAATACTGGGGAGTATAAGTCAATGAGCATGTTTGTCATTAAATAGCTAATCACTATGTAAAGATGATTTTTTAAATGCCGACCTTTTGACTCCTTTTCATTTCCACTGTGGCTTGGTGGATCCAAAAACACAGAGTAACTTGGATGTTCAAAGTAGGATGTTTTACATAACAGTTACTGAGTTCAGCATAACTAAACAAAATTAGCCATAAGGATCTAAGTTTCCAGTTATTAACAGTACCCAGGGTTTTATAACCATCATTTCACCCATGATCATTTTACACCAAACTATATGATAATATAAAACAAGACCTCAGACATGACTCCACTAGAGAATAGGAAAGTTCAGGCCCAGTTTATTGGCCACTCTTCTCCTCATTCTCACTTTTTGTCTCCAACACCCCAAATCCTTTGGGTTGCCTAATTATTACCTGCAGAACTTCTTAATGCTTTCTTATTGTTGCTGCTGTTTTTCTTTGTGTTCAAATCCAGTTTTGTTTTGTTTTTTTTTCTATTTTTTGGGTAAAAGTTACAATTTTAACTACTATCAAAAGTATTCCTTTAATGGTATGGAGTTTTTCTTCAAAGATCTGATAGGAATTCTTTAAAAATGGACTTTTCTTTCCATTGAAGTCTTACCGCAACAAATTCACTGATTTAGATTTCTCTGACAAACACAGTCGAGGTATCAAAACCCAGACATTTTGAAAATAGCTTTTCCTTGAAGTCATTTAGAATCTAAGACTTTCCTTTGTCCTGCTCTGTCAAAGTACCCAGCTTGGGAAGAAGATGGGTCTAAGTAGTCTGGGTGGAGGAGGAGTAGGGAAAACAAAGGTGGAGGATTGGTAAACAATCTATACAAAGTAAACTCACAATGTCTTCTGAAACTGATCCATTTAAGTTCTCCTATTTCCCGGGACTCTGTCACAGACACTTCTGGCTCAACATTTGTAATAAATTAATGATGATTTTCTCTGTTGCCTTAGTTAGACAGCTCCTTTCAAAGAGAACTTTTCCTGGGAGATAAATGTAGTGTTCTTTTTTTTTTCCTTGATATATATAAACAACCTAGTGGGCAAGCAGTATACTTAAAAACCACTTTCATTTTCTCCAAAGTCTAGAGCTGTTAGAAAATGAGGAGTCTTGGGGCACCTGGGTGGCTCAGTTGGCTAACCATTTGACTCTTTTGATTTCAGCTCAGGTCATGATCTCAGGATTGTGAGATCAGAGCCCTGCAGTGGGATCCCTGCTCAGCGGGCAGTCTGCTTCTGCCCTCCCCCCACCCGCTGCCCTCTCTTTCTCTCAAATAAATAATAAATAAAATCTTTTAAAAAAAGAAAAAGAAAATTACAAGTCCTTCAATTGTAAAAAATATTTGTTATATCATAGAATTTTAGAAACCAGCTATGACCTTAGACATTACCTTGTTAACCTTTACTTTATATAAAGCAAATGAAGTCCTGAAAAGAGAAGTATAGTAGAATAAAGGTGGCCACATACTTTGCTATTCTTTCCATTGAAAGGTGAAGTCTCACACCTCCCTGCCTCCCCTCCTGTTTGGGCAGGCTCCACGGTTGCTTTGGACCAATAGTATATAGTGGAAGTGGTATTCTGATAATTTCTGGGCCAAGATCTGAAGAGGCTATCAGTATCTAGTTCTTGTCTCTCACTTGCTTTTGGGACCTCTCATCTCAGAACCAGCAACTATTCTGCAAAAAGCTGAAGCCACACAGAAAGGCCATGTATTGGTCCTCCAGTGAGGAGCCACGGCTAAGCTCCCAGGTGATAGTTCTCAAGCACTTTCAGTCATGAGAATGTGACATCTTGTATGTCAAGCCCAGTCAAACCTTTTGAGGGCTCCATACCCAGCCAATATCTGACAATAATCCCAGGAAGAACCTAAGTGAGAGTTGCCCATCTGCCCAGACAACCTGCAGATCAGTGAAAGAATAATAAATTATTGTTTTAAGCCACTAAGTTTGGAGATGGTATGGTATGTAGTCATATACTAACTGGAACTGAAAATGACATAGGCCACTCTTTAAGTAGTACCAGAGGGAGAACTGTGACTCCAAAGCTAGGATAGTCTCATTATTTGTGTTAAGGGGACTTTCAATGTTAAGTAAAACTCATTCTCAGTCCCCCAGGAGCTCAAAATTACACAATCTTTCATTCTTTCAATGTTCACATAAAATATAGAATTTTCAAGATCCTTAAATTTTTAAAACAGATTCTTAGAGCTCTGTTTTCATAATAATAAACCATCATTTCACAATAAATTGAGGAAGCATTCTCACGCATTCCTTCAAGGCACTGCTCTAATAAGTCTCATGGAAGGAAGAATTCCTTAGGTAAACTGATTTGGGGAATTTCTGACTTAAAGAGATCATCTTATCTATGGGTTTCTCAGAACTGTAAAATCCCCAAGAGAAGAAATAGATGCAACTTTTCCCCAAAAAACTGTGATCAAGAAGCTCTTCTTTACCAAGCACCATAAGAGTTATATGTTTCATAGCAACACTAAACTAAGAAATAGGAATAAGGATATAAGTTTCTTAGCAGAAATCAACTTTTACTTCCAGAATATTTCACCAAAAAGTTGTTTTCCTAATTTGGTGTGCCTTCAGCTTAGATAACACATTTTTAGAGAAAATGATCATGATTGTCAGGGGCCACACTTAGCTAGGTGCCTTTAATGATCTGTTCCTTGCTTTGCCTCTTGCTTAAACATTTTCCTAGGGGGAAGATTGAATATATATTTGAGGAATAAATATAAGAGGGAATAAATAAGATGAGAAATATAATAAATAATTGGATGAATTAGTTAAAAATTGTAAGCCCTGGAAATCAGCTCTGGCAATAATTAGTCTGGTCTGGTTTTGTACCTTTATTTCCATCTAAGATCAATGGGAATTATAACAGTTACCCTGTCTCACAGAGTTCTTGGTAAGCTCAAAGTAGATTTTAGAGATGCAGGTAGGTCATTTTTAGGGGTGAAATAATCTTAGTAATTATCTATTTATCAACTCTTTTCATTTTCTTGATGTGAGGACTAGGAACCAGAGAGTTTATAGTGCAAATGCTAGCTACATTAGAAACTTCCTTCCCAGTGGATCTACATTAAAGACATAAATAAGATAAAGACATTGGGAAAGTCCTCTATTTTAATAGATGTTCTATAAAATGCTGTTGATTCTAATTCATGTGATGTCTATCTCTGACTCACAAGTTTTTGCAAGCAATCTGAGCCCCCAAACATATTCACCACAAAGTTCACAGCCAGTAGAAGGTGTGGCAGTCAGAACATTTAATTCATAAACAACAGCGCAGTCATACTGATGAGTCCTAACAGTGTATCAGCTCTGGTATATGAATCTGGTCAAGCACATTTTCCCCTTTCTGCTACCAGTTCCTGGCCTTGTGAGTACTGCCATCTTACTGGTGTTAGAAATCCTTCCATTCAGACTCTCTTATATTGTGGCTGCCTTACAGATCTCCATAATACAATAGGTTCTAGTATCTGTTTCCTAGGAATTGTCTAGCATTTTATGGCTCTTTCAGCAATATGCCATCTTGACCCCAAATTATGGACCATTTCCATGCTTCTAGCTTCCAAGCTGAAGAAATTATAGTTTTATCATCTCCTTTTGCCTCTAATGGGACATAGACCAATCCACTATCCCCACTTATTTATTCTGGATATTTCTACCCCTGTATATTTGACATTATTTTTCTATAGTCATGTTACATAGTTGAGTATGATTTGAAATGGTGAAGGAGTAATAAGCCATGAAAAGATGATAGACAAATAAAATGACATGAGGTAAATATTTAATACTTTCATCTTAGAACAAGAAAATATGTTTAAGGATAAAACAAAGAATCTGCATTTAACCAGTTTGTGTGTATGTGTGTGTGTGTGTATACTTTTTAACATATATACATAAAAAATACTGAACTTTTCTTCATTTAATAAGTGGCCAAAAGTTTTCATCTGAGCACAGTGCAACTGGGAAAGGGTAATGAGAGCTTTATTCTCCTGGATTTGGAGTAGTTACAGTTCTAGCATGCTTACCTCTATAAGTCTGTTGGTGTGTTCACGAAATATTGAAGCATATTCTTTTATTTCCTTTTCTCGGCCATTCTTGGCAGCTTCAATGAGAACCAAAAGTGGGACTGTTGTATCCAAAAAGGAGTCTGACACATGATCTATAATAGCTTTACGGAGCTGAGGAGAAATAAAAAATTCACTTTTTTTTCAGGAAATGGTTCATGATATTTCCTATTTTTACAATCTCAGTAGTTACAAAATTAATCTTACATATTTTTATGCAATCTCTAAACTAATAATATTTAAGATGGTATATGAATGTCACTTACAAAGTTAAAACAAACAAAATATCCAAGGAAAAAAAAATAATTGAGCAATAGCTCTCTTGCTCTCAAAATACACTATTTTTTTCTTAAATTATACTTAGCCCAGAGGTCAGATTATAAGTGATAATACTCCATTTTCCCTCAAAAAAATTGTACTACTGTAATGTTTATGCATGTCTATAAACAACATTGTACATCATGTATTTTCATAATTACAAAATTATGAAATGTTTTCTACTTTATTGGAGGAACTGATGATAAATTTTGATTAGCTAAATTGTAGTCTTCATGGTAATTAAACCAAGTTAGATCACTGATTATGCCAGTTAATAACAGATTAATAGAGCAAGGAGAATAATAAATGAGTTTGATGTCCAATTTTCTTCATCTGCATTAATTGTTCTTGCCCTTACACCTTAAATTATTAAACAAGTATAACATTCTACTACAATTAGTTCTTTTAAATTAGATTATGTGTAAGCTCATAAATGACAATCAGGCAATTACTCTATTCAGCAGATACTTACTGAAATTTAAAACTGCATTAGAAAATTAATGCATTGTATTTATAGAATATTGAGTCCTAAAGGATCACAGTATCTTGAAAAGTTTCACCCAACAGTGTCAGTGACTATGCATGTCTCCCTAATTTTTAAGTGAACCTCCTTATTTAATTTAGTAACTTCCATACGCTAAAACAAGGAGATGAGTAACTATCAGAAAAGAAAATTTATAATTTGCTTTCTGTGAAAATTATGTTTTAGAGTATTTTTTAAAACAATAGACAGTTACCCTAGTTTTGAATTACATGAGAATGCTATGGTAGCTGCATTAAAAAAAACCAACACTATCTTCCTATAATATTTACAGGATATAAATCCATAATAATTATAGATTTCAGGGAGAAAAAATACCTCTAAGCATCATCTTAGGAAAAAGAATTGTGAAATTTTCTGGCTTCTAACAATTTCACAAAGGCTATAGGCGATCCCCAAGGAAAGAATCTGCTTAGCATGCAGAAAGGCAAATCACTAATAGCAACTAATTAATATTGTCTGAGCACTTACTAGAACAGAGTAAGAGCACTTACTAGAACAGAGTGCAGAGTGCTAAGGAGTTACAAGGCAAGGGGAAGACCTCAAACGGATGAACAATGTGTCTGATGTCCATAAAGAGTGAACCAGAGAAGTCAGGCAACGAATCACAAGTTAGGACTTGAATTGGGAACTGCAAGTTATGTTAGTTCCAGATAGGTAAAAGTAGAAGGAATCTCAAAGGGGGAACAGTTTTCAATTATCATCCCTCCCTTTTGTCCTTTTTTCTTTCATTTATAACCAGGATATAAATGGGAGGGGAGATGTGCACTAAAGATATGCAATTAATAGCCAACATACATATGGGAGGTAATTCAAGCCAAGGAGGCAGATAGGATCATGCACAGTGAGGAGATGTCCAAAAATAAAATCTTAGGAAATATTACCATATATGGGAATTGTGCAGATGGAAGAGAGGGATCTAAAAAGAGACTCAGATGATGGCCAAAAACAAAGAGAGCAAATGACCAACAACTAAAAGAGAAACTTTCAAATAAATCTATGTCAATACTGTCTCCAAATGAATTTATCCTACCATATGCAATTATTGTACCCACATTATGGACTTACTGAATCTTCTTTTCTGTGTATTTGATTCCATTCAATTCAACAATTATTTCTAAACATCATTTCATTACCTTTCTACCAAGAGCAAGCTATTATGAAATATAGCAAGATGGAAATGCATGGTCCCTTATAATCTAATAAAGAAGTGAGAGTCATTAAATGTCACAATAAGGGAGAAAAATCAGGAAACTGACAGCAAAGAAATTTCAAAAAGATAATCAGTTTCAGAGTCTAATTTTAAAGGTAAGTTAAATAAAATGAACTAAGACTTATCTAATGGATTTGACCAAGAGGTCATTGATTAACTTAGCAAGAGCAGTCTGAGTAGAAAAATGGAAGCAGAAGTCCTATTGCAATGGTTTGAAGAATGAATGGGAGATGAGTAGAGGTAGAAACAGTGAAAATAAACTCCTATTTCTAGAATACTTCTAGGAATCTTACAGTGCTATGGTCTATGCATTTCCTCTCTGTAATGGTATTTACTCCCCTGTTCGTTGCACCCCACCCCCCCAGGCTTTCACTGCTTTCCCTGCTATTCATTCAATCTTTCCTTCCATACAGAAGTGCTGAAATATGTTGTAAAGGTGAGACTTGAGCTATAGCTGATTTACTATTGTTAACAAATAAATAAATAAATGCTTTGGCTAAATTAATTTTTTTAATTAAACGATGTTAGAAACACATTTTTTTTAAACTTTATTCTAACACATACTGCTAAGTACAAAACACAGTAAATAAGAAAAGGTGTACCATGGACATGTGATATTATGTTCAGTAGGACAAGACATAAGGACTGTCAAATAAGCTTACAAATAAGTTCTATGCCAATGCTTGCAAAATCCTGTTGGAAAATGAACAGGAATTACCTGACATACTATAATTCAAATATAATAAGCAAAATGAATCTTCTTTCCTATAGCTGTATATCTGTTCAATTTAACAAATGCACTTTGAGCTTTCTCTCTAAGGACAAGGCACCACTCTAGGCAAACTGGGAATGTCAGGATAACAAAGACAGGGTAATATTAGGGAGTAAGAGTTGCAAAAAGAGTTTGATGAGTATCTTATAAGAAGCATAAATAAATAAGAAACAACTAGCATTGTTATCATTAAAAGCCTTCAGTAAAGATGAGATATAGGTATTCCATTTTAAAAGTTGAATTAGCTGTTAAGAGTAGGGGTTGGGAGGTGGAAAGCATAGCATTCTAGAATGAAGACTATCATAAGTGATTAAACAAACAAACAAACAAACAAATAAATAAATAAAGGGATCCTCAAGACATGGCAAGAATTTAGTGTGACTAGAACAGTGATAGAGTAAGGATTGAAACAGGATTTCTTAGGTACAATAGATGTAATGGAAAGCATTTCAGGTAAAAAGAACAAAATAAGACAAAAAGTTTAAAAGATGATGTCTCCACCACTGGACCAGTTCCTGATTTCAGCTGTTGCTGTAAAGGAACAGTTCCTTGTCCTTTCAAGACATCCCACCTTGAATACATTCCATGTTCCTCTTTGTTATTCTTTTTTAGGGTCTGCTTTAAGTCTCTGTGAGTCTCCGCCCAAGCACAGACAGCCTGGAAGTTCTGAAGAGGGAACACCACTGGGAACAACTATCAATCAGTGGAGACAGACAGGAACTACCAGATAAAATTCCTGGTCTCTATCTATTGGTTAGATAATTCTGGGCGACATTCTTTCCCTTCTTACAGGTCCTTAAGATTCTGCTGCCTACAGTAGAAACCTCAAATAGCATATTATTTCCTCCTTCCGTGCCTGTTCTCTTACACTCATGTTCTCTTACACATGCTTCTTGGAATTGCCTCCTAAATAAAAAACCTGTGCTAAGGCTCTGGTCTTAGGACCTGCTTTCAAGGGAATCTAATATAAAATAGATACATCTGTCTGCTGATAATGTTGTCATGAACCAAGTAACAGACTCTGATGTCTTACATAAACTACTCATTGATGACCATACTTTACCACTTCTGCTTTGCACACTACTGAATTTGATTCTGTCATCCTCTGTACTGTGCTGTGAAAGAGGAATTATTATGAGAGAAGGCTAGAAATGCAAATAGGGACAAGATACGGAACACCTCAAATGTTAAGTAATTTTCTTTATATATTCTGGCATATTCTGACATATGGGATTTTTTTTTCATTTAAATTGTATACTCACCTATATCTGTGTATGATATGTTAGAAGCCTCTACTTTATTAATTTCCATATTATTTTCCCACCCAATGGAACAACTCATTCCTTTCACTTGAGTGACATACAAAAAAAACTTTAAAGAAGAATCCAACATGCCATTGTAAAAATAGGACAACCTTAGAAGCTGCAGCACTAAAATCTGAAGTTAGTGGGAGGCCAATAGGAGTTAGAGGTATGTATTTTCAATAAATACCTGTTTGTGGCCAGGCATGAAAGATGTCAGGCACAAAATCAGACTGAGGGGTTTTCCATCTTTTCTCACTATGGTTTAATAAAAGGCTTTGAGACATCAATTTTTCTATTTCCCACTGATGTAAGTGGTTTGGGGTCTCAAATAAAATAATATATTTCTCTACAATTGAAACCCAAAAGTGAAAGCTGTATGTGAAAACTGTAAGACAGCACTGCCCCCACCACCATTAAATAAGAGAATAAAAAGTATGAAACTGTGAGGAGAAGAGGAATGGAAAGAAAAGAAAGTGTCTCAGAAAAGAATTGTCCTCAGGTAACCAGAAAAAATTATACATGTGGATATTAATGCTATATTAATTTTAATAGCAAAATGTGACTGTCAAAATGCAATTGACTAATAGCAACTAAATCACCTAATAATTAATTCAATGTATATCTATTGTGTCTACTGAATGATACTTGTATCTTTTGGGTCATTAATATTATTTCATTATGAGGATGATGAAGAGAAGATACAAGGACATACATTTTTTTTCTAAGTGTGGCACTGATACTACTAAAATGGGGAAGAGATGCCTATAGCAATTCAACAACTCAGCAACTAAAAAATTAGTGAAGTTTTTGTTTTGTCTGTGTTTTATCAGAATCCTATTTAATTTTACATACCTCAAGTCCTTACTTAGGCATTTATAAAATAGGCAATTTTTTTCTCAATAAACACAAATAAAAATTTTAACCTGCCTTTAGTAAAATCAAATGCATGTTTCATTATGCTTAATACAGTAGAAATGGGATATATTCAATTGCTTTAATTTTTTAAACAAAGAAATGCAGTTTAAAAATCTTCCTCCCTGGGGCAACTGGGTGGTTCAGTTGTTAAGCATCTGCCTTCAGCTCAGGTCATGATCCCAGGGTCCTGGGATTAAGCCTCACCTCTGGCTCCCTGCTCAGCAAGAAGTCTCCTCCCTCTCAATTCCTCCTGCTTGTGTTCCCTATCTCACTGTCTCTCTCTCTCTGTCAAATAAATAAATAAAATCTTTAAAAAAAATCTTCCTCCCTTATTAAGAACTGTAATAGGTACACAGTTCTCAAATAAATGATGAGGAAGGAGACTAAAGGAAGAAAAAATTTTAATTAAAAAAAAACTTGTAAAACAAGTGGTAATGAAGAAAAAAAAAATTAGGATGGTAAAACAGTTTATTAGGCACTGGGAGTTCTGAAGGTGATAAGCCATTATCCCTGACCCCTCACATGGTGGTTACAAATTTGGGCTGGGTTGGGTGGACTTGCATTCAAACTTCAGCTCTACCAGTTAGCTAAGTGATGTTCAGTAAATTGACTCCCCTTAGAAACTGAGATAATAATACTATGGCATTATTTCTCGTTTCAGAAATAAAAATCAATCATGTGAAGACTAACATAAGGAGTTGGTAGAGAGCTTTTCAAAGCACGACTAAGTGAAAGATGTTGTTATATCTAACATTTTAAGGATGTGAAATCCAGTGGGAAGATAAAAATCCATTTAAAATATCCATTAAAAAAGAGAAACACATGCAGAATATGAACACTACTATAAAAGAACTACACATGCTATAAGTGCCCCAGAAAGAAAAAACACTGATTCCAGCTGCTGATAATGGTAAAGGTTTCATGAGCAAAGTAACATTGGTATTAGTCTTGAGCTTCCTAAGGTTGATGAGGAGCTCAGCAGGGGAATCAAGAGGAGTAGGAAAAGCACCAAGTTAAAGAAACCATATATACAAAGGCACATGTGTTTGAGGGGGTGGGCAGTGATGGACAATTTGGCGAATAGTAAGTAGACTGTTTAGTCAGAGAACAGGTTAATGTGTGGTATGGTGAGGAGGAGGAACTGAGAGAGTGAAAGAGAAGGAACATTATGAATAATGTCGATTATGGCTAAAGTCATAAAAGTCATGGCTAAATCACAAAGAACCAAGGACCTTTGTCTTTGTTTTTTATGGTAACAGGCAAGAAAGTCACAAAGCAATAAGGTTCATAGAAATAAACACTAAGTCACCTTCTAGGTAATTTCCTTTTATTGCCCCAAAAAGTATAATTTGCCCTCCATAGATTTATCTAAGCAATCTATGTCATAGAAATATCTCATAGAAATCCAATGATTCTCTGAACCAAAGCCAAAATGCTTCTGTGTTGCTGATGGAGAAACCCCATATGGGTAAGCAAGGCGATAGATAAATGGGCAAGAAAATGTGTTCTGATTATTGTTTACTAAGAACAAGCAAGCAAACAAAAACAGATCTGTAACAATATACAAACATTAAATATTTCAAAGAAAAATATTTTAAGGGTAGGGACTTTCTTCTTCCTGTGCAAAAGAGTATATATAAGATGCTTAAAACAAACTGCTTGATAAACTTTGCAAGAATACAAAGAGGTGGAGATGACTCATGCTGCTGTTAAACTAGTTTTTATTATCGCAAAAGTATAAACATCAGGGTAGAAAATGAAGTCCTAGGGAGGACAAGTAAGAATACTGAAAACAAACCATAGCAACTACCTCACTGACATTGAAGACCACAGATGTCTCCAGAGACCAACTTCTAACAATCCCACATCACCATGTACATACATATCACTTCTGTTGGTCCTCTTGACCTGGGACAGGATTCATGACTATTCTTATCTCTAGAATGGGGAAGAAATAGCATTCTGGTAACTTTGGAGCTTAAGCATTAAGAAGGTGTGGCAGCTTCCATCTCTCCTTTCTTGGAGCCCTGATCTATCATGCAAGAAATCCAGGCTACCCTGTGGGGGAAAAAAGTCACAAGAAGGGGTCCTAGGAGTTTAGACACCACATGGAGAAAAGGAAGAAGAAGCACCAAGGCCTCAAATATCCAGCCCCAAACCCAGACACAGTTACCATTTGACTGCCACTACAAGGGAGACCACAAGTGAAAAGTACAAATATGGCCCTGCTAAACCCCCAACCAACCCATGGAATCATGAAACCTAATAAAATGGTTGCTACTGTTTGTAATTGTTTAGCAGCAGTACTTAATCAAAACAATGAATATGTTGACCTATAGAAACCACAGAGGATTTTCCTACTTCTGGAACACAACAGTTTTTTACAAGTTGGAAACATCCCTTTGCTATAAAGAAAAGTATTAGTAATCCCCCATGTTCTTTCTATATCTCACTGATGTTAGTGGGTGGTGGTGGGGGACACATGTAGAATTGCAAGATAAAATACAAGATGCCTGGTCAAATTTAAATTATATATAAACACATTATTTTTTAAAATATAATTATGTCCCATGCAATATTTGGGACATAATTAAACATGTTTGTTCTTAATCTGAAATTCAAAGTTAGTTAACTGAGTATCTTGTGTTCTTATTTGCTAAATCTAGTAATCCTATATATGAAGGATTGATTTATCTTGACTTTTTTTTTTTTTTTGTACGTAATGATTCCAAAAGCTTTGGAGATATAAATGTAGATTAACATTTTGTTGAAGTCAATAGAGAGGGATGAGACAGGAATGAAAGAATTGTTGAGAGCTCATAGAACAGCTTTTCCAAGTCCCAAGAGAAGAAGATGGAGTAGAAATCCTCAAGGAGATTGAGAACCCAAGTCCTGCAATTAAGAGGGAGAGTGGCTCTTGTAGGTAAAAGTTCCTGAGTTTAGTGTAGGTTATGACCTGTTGTAGGTTCAATGCCCCTTCCTTCTTAGGCAGGTCACTTGATCACAGACATGCTTTCTCATCTGCTTTATAAGACAAGTCTTGAGCTAAGTACTTTTCAACCCTTACATTCCATGATTTTAAGTGCCAACAGTAGAAATAGAATTCACATTAAGGCCATAAAGTTGAGAAATTGGAATTTCCCCAGCCCTCAAAAAATTTTTATTTTTTTTTTACAGCTAATATTAACTGGCTAAGGGATCCATATTTATTCAATTTCCAAATCTACTCCTGAATTAAAAGATTACTCGGGCCATTTTACTAAATCTTCCCATTAAACTACAATAATATATCGCATTAAAAGCTTATGGTTGAAAAGCTTTTGCCTCTCTTTTATGAGTTAATGGTGACCAAGTTGAAGTTGTACATGAAAAAGTACTCTGGATACTATATAGTAGAAAATAATGGAAAGAAAAGGTCTTTGAAAATAGCTAAGTCTTCATATTTGGGGGGAAAAAAGTTAACTTGAGGCATAATACTGGACTTCTAAGTTATCTAATGAAATCCTTCCTAATCTTATATTCCCAATGACCTAAGGTTACAGAGTAGCCTTAGAGCTTAAACAGCAACTAATTTTTGAAGCATTCTGAAAATAACTGAAAGGGCAAATTGGTACCTCTCTGATTACTAGCTGTTTGCTCTAAGCATATGGATGATAAACTAGTTTCTAATGTAACAGATTCAATTTAACAACATTCCTTAAAAAAGTCACTAGGGAGCAGGTACTGATAGGCATTTCATTTAATCCTCCCAGTCCAATTATGTATTATGAATTCCATTTTATAGGTTCAGAGAGACTCAAAAAGATTAAATTTGTCCCCGAGATCACACAGCTGATGAGGGCAGGACCAGCATTTGAATGTAACTCTGCTTGATATTAAGTCACATGTTCTTTCATTATTATATTATTATTAACGTTATGTTGGCCAGAAAAAATGGTTGTGGTATGTAAATATAGAAGTTACCTATTTACTCTTGTTGTTTTGTGTTCTAAATTAATTGAAGAAGGACAAAACAAATATTCTAGCAGTGGATAAAGTTCATTTTGTATGGTGTTTCTTTTTCCACGCCTCTGTCTTTCTCACCTGTCTGCGAAGATCCCTTGTCTTCTTACACATGTTGTCTATTGCAATATTCAGGGTATTACTCCTTTCCTTTTTTCCAGTCTGAAAGAGAGAAAAAAAATGGCATAAGCAATGGTATCAGATTACTCTTTATCACTTAGCAATTTTCTTTCTAAATTTCCTGAAAATAACAGCTTGAAAATTCAAGAATAGGTTTCAAAACTGCTATGATATTGCATATGATTCATGAGCACTTCACTTAAGACTAAGTAGAATGGTGATTAAAGCTCACATTAGTTTCTCCTTTAAGCTTCTGTAACATTTCTGATATGGGGCTGGGTTGTATTCAATGTGGCAGTCGGCAGAGCATTCTCTCCAAGAAACTCTGATCTTCATTCTTAACAAGTTGACTCTTTAACCTCAAAGCACGCAATTAGCTTAAAAGCATTAGATGCCCAATTTGTCAACTTCTGTGGGAGTTTCTGAAGTCATTTTCATGGTGTATTGTGTAAGTTATGCAGAGCCATATTGGAGTTTTGCTAAACACCAAATAAAATATGCAGTGCAAATTCATACAATTTGCAAAAGTTGACCACAATTTTAGCTGACAATATTCCAAGAACAAATTGTTTCAAGTAGGAACTGGACGCTGTTTTTGGCTCTTTAAGATAATTTGTGCAACACCTTTTCATTTCTTTAAGCAGAACAGTTCTCTGTTATATCCTTAACCTAAATCTTTGGCTATTAAGCACACAGGGAGTCACCTTGGTTGGTATTTTCTACATATTACTTTTGTGGGAGACAACTGAATTGAATCTAATCATACTTTTTTCTCAGTCCTATCTTGTATAAAAAAGATTGAAAAAAATCATTATGTGATTCACCTCTAAGAAAATTGCTACCATTTAAATTAATAAACTGAAAAGGGCTCTTGAGAGGAGACCTTGAAAATCAGGAAGGTAAGTTTAAGCAGCTGATAACTGAGGAAGTTTATAGCACAGACTCCATGAAGAAGGAAATGAAGGTAAAGTGTGGACCATTGGGCTGTGTGTCATACACTATGTCCAATGACTACATTCACAGATAAACCCATACCTTCAAGGGGAGAGACTTCTTTACAAGAAGTTCAAGAACATCTATATACTCTGTCCCAACCTCTGTTTAGTCCCATTTTCTGTTACATCTTCTCAAGTACTACCCTTCCAGTAACAATATTCCTACACATGTCTACCTCATCTCCCAAGTTTTTATATATAATATACTCTTGACTTCAGCAAGTGTCTACAAAATAACCTGCTGCTAAAATCCTACCTGTTCCTCAATGGTTTCCACAGAGTTCCCCCACCAACTCTCCTCAGGAATAAACTCTCACCTTTCCTTGTTCCAATAGCATTTTGCAAATTTCCCAATATTTGTCTCTATGCAAGTTCACCACTCCTACAATACTGTTGGAATCTTGATATTGACAAGTATAGCTTTTTTTTTTCTGTTCCTGGAAGTAACTTGCAGAGGACTTATTGAAAGGTGTTGACGAGTTTAAAAGTGAACAACTTAATTCAGAACAGAACATAGTTTTATTAGGATCCTACCAAATGCCAGGAAGGTGTCATACTAGATTCTTGAGAAGATTACACCTAGATTTCCTCAGCAACAGTGTTACTGATAATTAAGATGGAAAAAAAAAAATCACTGTCATTTGAGACCACCTTATACACTGCAAGATGTTTGGCATCCACGGGCCCCTGTCTACTAAATTCCGATGATATTGGCCTCATGCATTTCCAGATGCCTCTTAGGGGGAAACAGTAGAGGACTGCTAAGTCTCTTACCACTTTTTCTTTTTGACAATGAGTGTGCAATATGTACATGATGGAGATTGTATCTAGTAAAAGAAGTGTAGAGAAGAGAGAGGAAGAAATAGAGACAACTAAAATTCTAGATGTCAGAGCAATAAAAGCAATTGGTGTCAATTACCCAGATGAAAGTAGTGGCTACTTTCTCAGCTCCTGCCCAGCATTACCCATGCTAGCAGTAGAAAATTATGAAAAGTTAATGCAGAGCCATGGAAGGCAATGGCATAAGCAGATACACAATGGGCTACAAAACAGTTTCTAATTTTACCTAAAGGACCAAGCCCATATTCTACAGTTTCATGCAGTGTAGCTCTTGGTTGTCTCTTTCAACATCATGAAGCCAGAGATAGTAAAAGAGGTCAGGAATGGGACAGACTGAAGAGATACCTCCCTCTCACTGCCCCTCACACAGGATATCAGAAATAATACAGGAGATTCCTGTTGCGTTGACCATAAAAACTCACTAGCTTCCATGATGAGATTCATCAGAATAACTGAAAGATGTCAACCTTCTCAGAACAAACAGCAGTAGCATACAATACTTTAATAAAGGATGACAGGAGGTGACAACCTGATGGGATTAAATAAGGACTATAAAGATGATTTCTTAATTTCTATCCAGAGCTCAATGTTAGTTTAAAATGTTTCATTGGGTGAAAGACATTTTGTTCTCTAAGTAACAATAAATAGTTCCTTTCACTACAGGAAGTATTAAGCTTTCCCTTCTTCTTTCCCTGTATCTCCCCACCCCCACTTTTCTTCTTTTACCTCCAGCTTCTTATTGGGTCCTTGCTCTATCTACCCAGATTTATTTGACTCAGTCAAGCCATTTTATGCCTCTTTATTCCTTTTGCATGGCATAAAAATAAATAAAGCAAGGAGAAATAGCCGCATCCTGCTTAAAAGCCCTCATTCCTTCTGTTTTCAAAGCCTTAACAAATCATCAAGCAGTGAGCTAGGACGGAAGGTGAACTATGCTGAAGTAAGGGACGGGAAGGGCAGGATATTAAAACATAACCACAGATAACAGTCAGAGCCTGCCTGCATTCTAGATGCTCAGAAGAGAGGATGCTTCTTAAAGGAGCCTTGACAGAAACCACCATTAAGTCAGCACAGCCCTGCGAATGGAAAAGGTACCACTTACAGCGGAGTACCAGGGGGGAAAATGCTGAGAATACACAGCACAGATCAGCACTGTGTAGAGAAAGCAATCACATTCCTCATCAGCAAAAAAAAAAAAAAAACCTGTCAGGAAAGGCTCTATTGAAAAGCACAGTTCTGAACATAGATTTCATTCAATGAAATTTCATTAAAACTACTATTGCATATTTTAAATATTATTCCAATGTGATCCAGGCTTATAATCTTAACTATGAGTCTTTCCATCAGTTCTGTCTCACCATTGCTCCCATGTCATGCTGCAGTTAATTGCATGCTCTCTTGTGGTTCCCGTAAAGCTGCCTACACATTTGGAAAAAGTCTCTCTATAAATAAATTTCCTTGAGTTATCCTAATTTGAGTGTTCCATCTGTTTTCTGTTGGGACCCTGCTAGGGAAAACTTTCTACACTGTGTTGTCCAACATAATAGCCACAAGTCACATGTGGCTCTTTAAATTTAAATATAAATTAATTAAAATTAAATAAGATTAAAAATTCAATTCTTCAGTCCCTTAAAGTGAGCAATAGCTGCATGTGTCTAGTGGTTACTAAAATGGATAGCATAGATACAGAACATTTCCCTCATTGCAGAAAGATATACCAGACAGTACTATTCTAAAACACATCTTTTTTTATTCAAATATATAATGAGTTCCTACTTTTATGCAAATCACATTTCATTCGAGAATAAAAGAGTGAGCAAGAAACAAACAAAAAAAGCCCAACCCTCAAGGTATTTACTCTAATAAAGAAATTTAAGGTCTGGGGTGCCTGGGTGGCTCAGTCCATTATGTGTCTGCCTTTGGCCCAGGTCATGATCTCAGGGTCCTGGGATCAAGCCCCTCCTCCATCTCCCTGTTCAGCAAGGAGTCTGCTTCTTCCTCTTCTTTTTCTTCTCTTTCCCTCTGCCCTTCCCCACCACTCTCCTCCCCCAGCCGCATGATTTCTACCTCCCTCTCTCAAATAAATAAAATCTTAAAAACAATTAAAAAAGCAACTTAGGGTCTAATTATGTTCCTTCTTGTTCTAAATCCCTTCAGTGTATTCCCATTGTTGATAGAATTAATAAAAAATTCTTGATCATGGCATTCAAGGCTCCACATGACCTACTCCCATAATTATCCATCAATTATTAATGAGATAGCATAATGAACCCTTTGTTTTCTATGCAATACAATCAAAACTCGGGAACTTTGCCCATATGAAAAATCTCATTTGGCACTTTTGATCTTGTTTTCTGATTATGGACTTCTTTCAGGACTCAACTAAATCACTAAATTTTAGATGAAGCTTTTTTTTAAGCATCTCAGCTGAAATTAATTACTCAAATTCCACAATACTTTTTTATACTATTTATGTTTCTTTGATAACACTTTGTTCAATAAATAATCCAATCTACTCAATACATCTTTATTATCTATCAAATGCCAGGCACCATACTAAGGACTGATGATACATTAGACCTAATACCTGTCTTTGAGAAGCATACATCGCATGTTAGAAACAAACATAAACACAGTATTTAATAGAAGTATCCGGGATAACCCATGGAGCAATGGGAGCTGCACTCCCATTAAGGATGAGGAAAAGATTCCTGAGAAGGTAACAGTTGAATACTAAAAGACATGTAGGAGTCAGCCAGGTGACGATGAAAGAGAAGGTCACTCTAAGGGGGCAGAGATAAATTGCACAGAAAGGCAAAAGTCTTTCAAGAATATTTGGTAACTAGTATAAAAAGCATGGGGGGGGGGAGCCAGCTCCTGGAGGTTGTTGCCACATTAAAAAGTGAGGCTGATTCTATAGACCACTGGTATCTCAGAAGTGAAGCCACTGAGTGACACAGAATGACCACTATTCAAATACGTCAACCTGGCTGGAGTTGCATAATGTATTTAAGGATACTGAGAACAGAGACAGGCAGAGGAGTTAGACAGTTGCAGCGAGAGTGTACAAAAAGGCAAAAGGTGCTAAAGTTAATACACTGGCAGTTAGGATGAAGAAAATCAACAGATTTAAAGACTCTGAGTACACTGGAGAGGTTGATGACTGGCAGATGCTCAGGGTGGGTAAAGAAAAGAGGACAATGTAGG